CGGGTCCTCATTTTACCCACCTCGGAAGGATGGAAGACTGAGTCAACCCTGAGCCAGTGAGATTTGAACCGCCAAACTGCAGATAACAGTCAGCTGAAGTGGCTGCAGTACAGCACTCTAACCACTGCGCCACCTCGGCTCTTCACATGTTAGTGTGATGTGTGAATCCAATCTTTGTATGTTACTTGTGTTCTTAAAATAGGATTGATTCATGCAGGCATGTCCTCCTTGATTTTTTTTTAAACTGGGAATTGAACTGAAATGCTTTATTTGCTATCCTTTAGGTGAACGATAAATATGTGTAGAATCACCATTTGTGAGACACTGCACGCAGTTGCCCAGATTCCAATATTGTTTAGGCTTGTTAAAGATCTTTCTAACATTCCAGGCTGATTTTTGGAAAATAGAAATTGGTATTTTGGTTATCAAGGCTTTAGTCATGAAAAGACTGGCTTATGTGAAGTGCCGTTGTTACTGATAAGTTCCTTTTTATCTGCGCTTTGACAAATGAAAACAAGCGAATTCAAATAAAAAATAAAAAAATCCACTGCAGAGAGATTGCAATTTGCTACAGTTGTTTTCTTCCCATTGCGTTACACAACCACAAGAGGACAGCACTGGGTGCCATCTGAACAACTTGCTTTGGGATGGGTCATCCCAACAGATGACAGGTGACCTGAGCATGAACACAACAAATAGACCTGTTGCTAAAGATAGCAGAATGAAATCCATTTCAGTCCCACCCTACACTATCAATTAATAGGACATATGTCTAATTCTTGATGTTGAACTGATGAAGCAGAAAACTGGATAGTATGAAATGGATCAGCAGAAGCGCAATATGAAAAGATGAAAGATGCCCCTGCAAAGACAGGGACATCTTCCCTAGAGTGGATCTATTCACCAGAGAATGCTAACATCTTCTGCTTCAAATGGTAATTTTCCAGTAAGATGGGAACAAATATATTCTAAAATATTCAAGGAATTATTATTTTAAGAAAGGAGAGAGGGGGAGGGAGGGAGAGAGAGAGAGGAAGAAGAAGAAGAAAAGAAGAAGAAAGAAAAGAGAAAGGAGGAAGGAAGGAAGGAAAAGGTATTAATGCACGGTTGATTGATTGATTGATTTGATTTGATTGATTGATTATATTTGTATGCCGCCCTTTTCCCCCAGAGGGGACTCAGGGCAGCTCACAATTCAAATCAGAGAAGGGGGTACAGACAAAAAATAAAACAAAACATAACAAT